AAAGAACTATAATGAAAGTTATTGGAAATTACATTTACATGAAAGTTACAAAAGTTGCGTACATGTGAGGAGATACGCCTGAGTTGTCTAATCTACATCACCAGGAAAGATTGGTCATTACTCTAAAAAAGGGTATTCATATCAATCATGTCCAACTGCATTGACCATGAACAGTAACTTGAGATAGGTGAAATTATGAAGAGGGTTTTGCCAAACAAGTTGATCGTCATTCTCAAGCAAAAAAAAAAACTCATTCCATTGCTCTAAATTATTAGAAATTAGAAGTAAGTTTACTTTTGATAATCTAAACAAGAGAAGTAAATATAGCGTATATATACCAGTAAGCTTCACCAATATGTATGGCCGAAAACGACTTCAACATAGTACAAAAGTAGGTATGGCAGGAAACGATTTCAACATAGTACAAAAGTCGGTGTAACCCAAATCAACTTCTGTACTGTTATGTTTAGAAGTAGGTATGACCCAAACCGACTTCTGTACTATTATGTTTAGAAGTCGGTATGGCAGCAAATGACTTTTGGCTTGTTATGTTTAGAAGTCGTTATGTCAGAAAATGACTTATGAGTTGTTATGTTTAGAAGTCAGTATGGCCCAAACTGACTTCTACGCTGAAGTCGATATGACCCACACCAACTTCAGACTTTTTTGAAGTTGTACTCTCTCATACCAACTTCTAAACTAATTTCGTTAACTTCCATACCGACTTCCAAAAGGTCAATATCGGTAAACAAATTTTTTTATTCGTTCACTTCCAAGTGAACTAAGTAATAGTTCACAACTTAGCAAACACCTTCTCTCATATAGCTAGGAACTTGGAAGATGTATTAACTTAATTAAAAATAACCTTGGAAGATGTATTAACTTAATTAAAAATAACCTTGATCTAATTCTACCTGACATTACTTCCTACAATGGTCGATTATACAACAAATAAAAACTCACGCAATAATCTTAACTATCACTCATCAATTAAAAAACAAGGTGTTGTAAATTTCACAAAGAACCCTGTTTTCCAGAAAAGAGTTTAAGCAGCCTATGATTTAACTATGATCACTTATTTCCTCAAAATGTTGACGTTGGTTATTATATGAGTATATGACAAATACTGACCGGTTAGACCAAGAGTTTTAAATTGTGATTCATGATTGCAATGGTATCCAAACTTTTGTTATTTTGATTGTCTCTACAATTAATAATCGCAAATAGGGAGGAATTCACTTTAAGTAAAAAAACTTAATTCATATCATAATTATTCATTCTTAGAACCTTTCACATTTTCCTGTAGTAAACTTAATGTAACAGCATTTATGAATCATGATTTTGATCACAACTTAAAACCTTGGACTTAGATCACTAAAGCCAGTGGCAGAGGCACGGAGCCACTCATGAATCAGGGTGTGCACACCTTGGAAAAACGTGTATGCTACCTTATAGTTAAAAATTTTGCACCCTTAATTTTATAAAATTGTATCCATATCATTTGTCGTTCCGATACATTTTGGACCATTCATTGCAACTTATACCCCTGATCTCGGATCCTGAATCTGCACTAAATTAAATCAGTGCTTAATATTTTGAAAACAAGGAAAGAAAACCAACACAATGTATGTGTCTAGCATAGTGCAAATAAACTGGATATACAATCTAAGTGCTAGGCTACAATTTCAACTATCTAACCTATGAATATAATATTAGTTAATACTTTAGTTTCAGATGATCAGGAAACTCACTTAATCCACGTTGATTCATATGCATATATCTGTGATCAGCAGGTTCAGGGCCATATGCTAACATTGGAGGAATCTTCAGTTTGCGTTTCCCTCCTCGTTAAAATCGGTCCAAAATTTAAAGGGACTAGCAAGAGACATGCGTATAAATCACCCACCTGTCCCAAAATTTTGTGTCTCATTGTGTAACACTCCAATCAAAAAATGTCAACTACTTAAAGGAAAAAAATTATAAAAGCTATTATTGTAGCAAGTTAAGTGTGAACGAATATTACATCTCTTTATTCATGCTTTAATTTTATGTCTAAATCGAATGAAAATCTGACATTTCATTAAAAATAAGAATTATAAAAATACAAATTAACATTTTTATATTATTCGGAGAAAAAATGATTAACATAAGACATGGTGATGTAAGGATGACACTTTCATTATGTAAGAATCTTAAACATTTCAATTAAATTTAATTTTATTTCCTAGTGTGGAATTGGATTGACGAAGCCTAACTCTGGACAAAGAAGAAAGATATCTTGTTATAAAATGATGTCCACATCAATAAAAATGTAATATTAATTAAGAAAAATTAAACTTTCATTATTCATACACAAAGCTCAGGATCAAGATTACTAATGAACACTTCTCTTCCTTCCCGCATCTAACATTCCCGCCAAACAAAATAACTGAATCAAACTCAAAAGATTCCAAAACCTTTCTAACAAACCCTTCTTCTCATAACCGCTCCTTCCACTCTCACTTCACTTATGCGCGTCCCTTATAAATACCCCTCCGCTTCATTTCTCACTTCATTTTTCCATTCTCGTTCACTCTCTTCTCTCTCCATAACTACCATGGAAAACTTCAACTCCTTCCTCCGATTCATTCTTCTCTTCGCCGCCGTTCTCTGCTGCGGCTCCAATGGAAACACCGCCGCAGAAGGATTCGAATCAACCTTCACTCCTTCAACTCATTCTGCACCACCTCCAACTCCACCAGATCATCAAGAACACTCATTCTTCTCTCAAACTGCACTTCTCCCACCTATCCTCTCTCAGCTCGGTTTCAACGAGCTTGCAACGGCTGCTTCGTCGCTCTCTGACTCCAACTCCATCGGCGTTACCTCCGTCTGGACCGGTCCTTCTACCATCTTTGCTCCCTCCGACGCCTCCCTCCGCACGTGCTTCTCATGCTCCATCCCTAACCTCCTCCGTGAGCACATAGTTCCAGGTCTCTTCACCATTGATTATCTCCGGCGACTCGCATTCGGAACCAAGATCGAGACCTTGAGTCCAGGACGTTGCATCACCGTCACCTCTCATTCGGTTCATCCAAACACCAACTCCACCACCGCTGCAAAGGTCTTCATCGGAGGCGTGGAGATCACACAACCGGATCTCTTCAACAACGGCATGATCGTCGTTCACGGCATTCATGGTTTCATCTCGCAGTTATCTCCGTTTTCTTGCGACGTTGAAAGAATGACGTCACTCTCTTTCCCGTCCCATCCAGAACACCACTCCGGACAGCCTCGTCACACTCCCGATGCTAACAGCGTTAATGCTGCTTTCATCCGCGTCATGCTACGAGACGCTATGCTCAGACTCCGTAACAATGGTTTCAGCATCCTCTCACTTGCGATGAAGGTTAAATACGCACATCTCGTTACTCTCAGCAACATGACGATCTTCGCCGTCGATGATCTTTCGATCTTGTCCGGTTCGCACTCTTACATCGACAACGTGAGATTCCACATCGTGCCAAACCGTTACTTGTTGATCGCCGATCTGGAGAAGCTTCCGGTCGGAACTCCTCTTCCGACGCTTGAACGAGGACAACCGCTTATGATCACGACCTCCGGTGGAGGAACGACACTGGCTCCGATGAGGATCAACTATGTGAGGATTAAGTCTGCTGACGTCATCCGAAACGTGAGGATCGTGGTGCACAGCGTGTACTTGCCATTTCCTCATATCAATCCCGTGGCTGCGGCGTATGGTAACATCTTAGGCGGTGGAGGATCGTCGGAAGGAACAGAGAAAATGCCACAGGAAGAAGAAACGTGTTCTGCTGCTGGTGATGGACACGGTGGTTGTGGTTTATCCCCTATGGCTATGCCTCAGGTTCAGGTGAAGCCTATTGCTATGGCTATGGTGGATATTGAAGATCACCACGGCCTATGAGTGTATCAAGATGCATAGCATGTATGCTGTGGTACTTGTTTGCTTCTCAGGTTAAATCATGAAACTAGTTTGTTTACTTTGTGCCATTTGTAAAATACAGATTCAACAATACTGTTATCACTTATCAATTAGTTGTTCTTTACTTCGTGAATTCAAGTATGAAGTGTAGTCAATATGCTTTGTACGTTGCACAGTGAACTAGTGGAAAAGATTATCCACAATAAATCCAAATAAATGAAATTCATATACTAAAGTTAATAACATAGAATTTTAATATGAATGAATTCAAAAAAAAAATCTATTTAGATGTAATCAATTCATAAAAAATCATTCAATAAAAATATTATTTGTTTTTCAATTTCATTTATTATCTCAATTCTTATTTTTATGTATGACTTTGCAAACAAATTCTCACTTTGATTTTTATTAAATTAAGTTTTCATGGTGAGTAGTTAGGGATGACAAGGCAAATAAGACATATGCTATTTACCATTTAATCTTATATATATGCTATTTATATAAGATAATTATGTAATTTGATATTTATTATATAAATTGAGTTTTAGTGTGGTTCGTGCTAATTCAATGGCATGTCAGAGAGTAATAAAAATGCTAATTCAACACTGACAGGCTGAATACCCCCCTATTTATAGAGGATTTGTGCAGTATGAAAACACTGACTTATTTTTCTTCGCCTATGCATAGATAGGCTGCACCCTCCAAGACTTTCTTTCTTTGCAATAAAGCTTTGCTTTTGAATTTTTCAAATGCTTGACCCCACAACACAACCTGGACCTCACAGCAATACTCACAACATGTAATGTCCTGGATGTGCATTAGTCCTTTATAAATAATGGAAGCTTTCGCACAGCTCAATCCCTTGCTTCTTGCTTTACTAAATAGAAAGGGTTTTTCTCGCTTTCTTAGTAAATCCAGTTTTCCGCCTTATCTTGCACGTGACGATAAATTTGAGTTAGCGGCAGAGAAAGAACCGACATTTAGGCGAGTCGCTCGATGGCCTAATACGTCTTGGATTTAATACACCCCTCCAAAAGCGGCTCCAAAACAAACTAAAAGGTGCATGTCACACTCACGAGGGATTGTTGGTAGCCCTTATGGGATGGGTCACAAACGTGCTACAATGACAATTATAATGGGAAGCAAGTTTGTAAGACCGAGCAAATCCGAAAAGATTGCCTCAGTTTGGATTGTTCTCTATAACTTAGGAACATGAAGTTGGAATCGATAGTAATTGTGGATCAGCATGTCACGGTGAATATGTACTCAGGCCCTCTACACACTGCCTATCACACTCTGGAAATTGGTTTCGCCCGAAACATTGGTCTAATGATCACCCATGACTTTTGTGTACCACTAGTACCACAAAGGCTTTTGGTGGTCTTCTTGGCGCATATCAGGATGGTGTCTTCGACTCAGGTGAAGTCATAATAATGTAGTCGTAGGGGAGCATGTTGTTGGATTCAATCCTTCGCGATGGAAAGTGCCATCTTCCCCCAACCTACAGGGCTAGCTTTTTGGAATGTGAGCATGCTTAGGGTTCAAAGGACGGACACCAAGGGTGAGTAAAAAAGAAAATTGCTCCATTTTCCTTTACCTTCCTATCAAGCAATCTGTTCCTTCTTGTTCATCAATCAAAATCAAGACAAATCAGACATTTTGACCTAGATATATGGAATAATCTTTTGTCATATGTACTAAAATTGTTCGGGAGACATGATAAAAGTTGAGTAAACAAATAACAATCAAACTTGTTAATGCATATGATGAGCAAATGAACATTAATGCATCAAAAGAGAGAGGTTTCCAATGGATAGCACAAAGGTTGTTAAGCTTGTTCTTCTCTGTATCATATGTTCCATATGATGGGATTAGTGCAAGAATGTGGTACCAAAGGTGAATCCTAAGATCCTCTATGTGAGCAAGCAAGGTGAAGTGATCCATAATTGCCTCTTCTTATTTTAGGAATCCAAGGAAAGAAAATTAATAGAAAATGATATGATAATTATATTGTTTAGTATGATTGAAATGGAAGAAAAATGAGGGGAAAGAGAAGGCACATTTATACATAGTAAATTTAAAATGACATAAGTGCCCCAATTATTTTTATATATATAATGATGTAGCATGTCTAATTGTTTTACAATTACATAACAAAATAATTTATTTTTAATAATATTTTTTATTAATTTTTAAGTAACATATAAACTAAGTTTAATATAACAAATGAAAGTCGTTAACATCTTATATCTTCTCACTAATATATTTGAAGAAAATATAACTCATATTTGACAATCACTTTTATACTTTTGACCATCCTACTTTCACACATTTGTATTTTGTCTTTCTGATTTATTTATTATTTGTCACTTTGTTGGTAATTTTAAGTAATTATGTTTCTTTTTTATTTTCACTTCATCTTCATTGAGTATACACAATTACTATTTTAAGTGTAGAAGCAACAAAAATAAAATTAAGTTAAATAATTTCACATAAAAATGAATATGAACAAAGAAGTTCATTACATTGTATTTATTTTCACCTAGATTAATGTTCTTCCAATTCATTCATGGTGGAAGGCCAAATTTGAAATTTTTGAAGATTTCATTTTTCTTCATTTTCTTAACAAACTAGGGAGGACAAATTTTTGTGGGACTCATGCATATTTTTTCTTTCCCTCCTATTTGGTGTTGGAACCAAAGGATGGATGACATTTTCCACTACTTTTCTTTCTTTCTTGTTTTCTATGCAACCAAAGGTAAGATATTGAAGCAAATAATTTACTTGTGTCTTTTGCCAATCCCTATATGGAAACCCAATACAACCCTTCAAAGCCTAATACTACTCTTGTGAATTGTGCATTAGGACTCTAGCTTGGTTATTATAGATTTGATATTTGGGTTATCATTTTCGTGGTTCCCCATTATACCTTTTTTGAGATGATATAGATGATTAACAAAGTTACATGAAAAAAAAACACTCTAATAATCAAATCAAACCCTCTGTCAATGACAATAGCTCAATCCTAAAAAGTAAAGAAACTACTTAACAAGAAAAATATACCATAATACATATGAAGAAGAAGAAGAAGAAAACCTATCCTAAGTAGCACTTCAGCGTTGCGACTTTGATATGTCTCTCTTTGAATTTGTTCTCCTTTACTATAATAACTCTATTTAATAAAGAAATGAGATAGATACAAGAAAAATATACCATAATATTTGGAAAAACATATCGAATATATTTATAACTTGTTATTGTGCCAAGAAAAAATATACCGGTAATACTTGGAAAAACACACTGGATTAATCAACATGGGATGGGATGACCAAAAAAAATATTTATCCACATAGATGAGGACAATTAATTAATGGATTGATATACTATGTCGCATCAGATTCCTCTCCAATACAATTCTGTTTTTTAGAATAATTTTAAGGATAAAAAAATAATTTTATTGTAAATTAAAGCGTACAAGTATTATTATTATTTGATTTTTTCTATATATTTTAACATAACTGTCATCTCAAGTAGTGGATATGAGTATGATTCCTTGTATATATAATATGCTTATTTTGCCATAGAATAAATTCCCACATAGGAGACTGCTTCAAATGTCTAACATATACAAATATTAAATGGTAATGTTTCATTCCAAGTTTCCTGATTGAGAGGCAACAACGCTAAGAGAGGGAAAAAGGAGAAGAATGGTTGGAAGGAATGAAACCAAGGGAAGGCAACCTTAATTCTCTACGTTAAATATTCATATCTAGCTGGAAGTTTAACATCATCAAGAAGTTAAGGAGCTCCTCTCTATTCCGATGGGGTCCTCTCCGATACTAGAGAGTCCAGTACTGAACGAGAATTGCGACACATAGGAAAAAAAGTGTTAACGGTTATGATTTTAAGTTTAACCATATTCATGCAAAACTAGCATGATAACTTTAACTAGAAGAAATCAAACTCCAAAAAAAAAGGTTTAGTTTTCTTCAACATTTATAATCTAAAGCAATACGTACCTATATATTTTAATTACACTTCATCTATATATAGCAAATAGATGAAATCAAGTCACATAAACCAAAATTTTTAATTTCAAGTTATAAAAAAGTTGTAGAGAAGAAGAAAAAAAGGGCTTGTGATGATGGTGATGCAGGATCCTTATTCATGCAATGAGTACACCAACCAACCTGAGATTGTGTTCTTTGATTTAGAAACCACAGTGCCAAAAAAAACTGGACAAAGGTTTCATGTGTTGGAGTTTGGTGCAATTGTGGTTAGTCCCCAAAAATTGAGTGAAATTGAGAGCTATACCACGCTGATAAGGCCTAAAGATCTTTCTGTAGTATCAGCTAGCTCTAGCCGAAGCGATGGCATAACGCGCGAAGCTGTAAAGAATGCACCATATTTTGAGGATGTTGCAGAAAGGATATTCAGTATTTTGAATGGGAGGGTGTGGGCTGGTCATAACATTAAGAGATTTGATTGTGTTCGTATTAAAGATGCTTTTGATGAAATCAATAAGCCAGCACCGGTACCGGTCGGAACGATTGATTCTTTGGGTGTCCTTACTAAGAAGTTTGGGAGAAGAGCTGGTAATATGAAGGTATGTATTGTAATAAGAAATAGCGTGTTCTATGAAGTACTGCTGAATGATCATTGTTAAATGCAAATTCTGACGTAGTAGTGTGTATAACACTTATTGATAACAATGTTTACAAAGAAGATCAAAATAATTGGGTCAAAACTAACAGATCTCATAATTTATTTATGGGCAGATGGCAACATTGGCTTCTTATTTTGGCCTGGGGCAACAAAAGCATAGGTACATTAAGCATTTATGTGTTCTAACTTCTAATGATTAGGATGATATAATTGAGTAGTATAGAATAGTATTTGTGAAATTTGATTGATATGGATATATGATTTTCTTGAAGCAGAAGCCTAGACGATGTTCGAATGAACTTGGAGGTCCTTAAGCATTGTGCAACAGTCTTGTTTCTGGTGTGCAATTTTTCTTGCTTATAATTTGAACATAAATTATGATCTCAGAAGCATGATTCACATTATGATTTTTGGGTAATGTTAGGAATCAAGTATCCTTAACACAATGCATAGCAAATGGTACGGCTCTTCGAGAATTATGACGCGAAGCAGAACTAATGCAAAATCACCCTGCAGAGAAGAGAGTAGCAGAAAATCTCCCCCAACTTCTTTATCTTTAGGATATCAGAGGACAACACCCTATGCTGCTAGGGTAAGTTTAATTTGGGAAAGGTTCTATTCTATATATTAGCATAACATAAGGTTTTCAAGTATATGCTAAATAAGCATCTATTATAAATCAGCCACTAACCAATGAGTAAATTGTATTGGGAAGTAAATCAGCACCCTATGATGTTTTAAATACATGTTGAGTTACTTCTCTCGATGACAATTGGTTTTGAGACGGAACCTTACTAAATTGTAACTCCTCTATACGCAGATGACAGAAAGCGTGAAAGGTCTCTTGTTTAAAGCACATGGGCAACAACCTCTTAATCAACTACTCAAGCATTCTCATTCACTTTTAAGATAAGGACTAATCACCAAAGATTGAATATGCAACTTTCTGAATGGATCTAATTCTGTTCTACCTTCATAAAGGCCTCACAATTTGTTGAGTTTGACAAGATTGAAGGATGATAAAGAACATGCATGTGGAAGAAGTCACAAGCTATGTTTTTTAGCACGATTCTGAGGATGTTTAACACTCTATGGCAGACCAAGTTCATTTGTGTACACTTTCCAATTAATTGGTTCATTCAAATTCTTATAGCATGATGCTGCTAACAAAAGCACTTGTAATTTGTAAATGAAATCAATAAAATGAACAGCTTTCAGACCAGTGTTATTAATAATCACACCGGTAGGGTACTAGTACAGTTCAATATACACATATAATATATTAACATTAATGTTGAAAAATCAACAAAAAAACAATAATTATTTTTATTTTCATTAAAAAATTAATTTTAAATAAAAATCGACCGGTATGACCAATACGGTTGAATTGAAAACCGACCGGTATAACCGGATTTTACCAATTTTGGCCGGTTTTTACCGATATAATTATTGTATCATACCGATATTGGGACCGGTTCACCGGTTCAACCAATCAGCACGAAACGGTTTTAATAACTATGGTTGACACTATCCTTCTAACAATGAGATTCTGTTTAAATGGTTAATCTTATATAGAAACGTACCAAGTTGGATTCCCTGTTCCATTGAAT